AGCAGAATTCCAGCATCACAGAAGAATTTTTTTATTAGTTTTTCTGGCCAAACTGAGACTTTCTTTCTGGATTTTTAGTTTAGGTTCATCATCTTAGGTATATGGAGCACCATCAATATTGCCAATGCATTTTTCTCCGTTCCTTTGGCAGCAAGGTGCAAGTAACTTCTTGTTTGCTGCATTAGGCACTTTCTTGTAAGTCATCAAAATAAAGCCACCAAGCCAATCACATGCCATGAAATTATGTAGTTGCACCACTGGTTTAAGCACCCATTATACTTAAACACAGTCCACAACAAAAGCACAAAGTTTACAGGTCTAGTAGGGCCACAAGTCACATCCCATTTAAATACTATGTCTGTACTTCAAATATAAATCTTTACAAGCCATTAACCAAACAATCATCATCATCCACACTGATAGAAATCAGACAGCTTTTAGGGCCCAGAAAATCTGGACAACAAAACTGTGAACCCTACACAGGAGAAAAATTGTACTTATTACCCTGCATTTCTGAAATAATTCAGAAAGCATGTTAAGAACCTACAGAAAAAATGGTATCACATTTTCTCCTAAATAAGCAGCCTACTACCACTGTGCAGAAATACTCTTCAGTTGAAGGGAAGAGAAGGGACACTACTGGACCTCAGTCTGAGATCTCACAAGTGAGAATCAGTTCTGGCTATTAACATTCAATGAGCCTCTTACTTCAAAGTTTATAAAGAAAGGCTCCATCTACTCTCATATCAGTCTAAATGAAAAACAGCTACTTTCAACATCTGATGATGCTTTTATGACCAAAATGATCTTAAAAACTAGAAACAAAGATTTTCAACTTTCTCTCCATGCCACTACAGTAACATCAGACAGGTTCCTCTGTATCTTTTCCTCAAGTCACAGGCTGAGTTATTTACACACCTTTATCTGAAAGGAGGGAAAAATTATTTTCAAGTCCCTTAAAAATAATTACCAAACCCAACACATGCACAGAAAATAGCTGACCTTAAAAATACATCCAAGGAAAGCTCAACCATTCTCAAGGTTAAATAAGAAATTCATAATTTTTTATCACTTCCAACAATAGGCGTATACCAGATCAACACTGTACATTCATTAATCAGCCTGAAATGAGCACACTACTTTTATCCTGCTACAGAAGATGCATTTTTCTTAAGCCATTGTATTACAGATTGCTTTGTAACACCAGTGCAGTAAGACTGACAATGAACTATACTTTAGGAAAAAAAATTACTACCAGCTACTTCTCCACAATTAAAAACTTCTGCCATTTACATCCCTGTTGTTTTTACATTTATTTATTGAGTTGCTGTAGCAGAACTATTACAATTGTTAGTGAAGTGCATCTTGTTGCATTTATGGTCCTGTTCTCTAGTAAGAAGCATTGTACTGCAATCAAATTATTCAGTGTCTTGTACCTTTGTCATATTTCACATGTGGACAGAAAGGAATGCACTGTCACAAGAAAAAAAAAAAGGAAAAAAGAAAAGGGAAGCTCTGTTTCACATGAGGCTTCTTCTAAGGAGCTGTATTTTGTTGTTTAGGCAAAAAAAATTTGGTATACAGCATTTCAATAGTAATGTTCAAATAATATTCAGAGAACTGTCCTTTTAGCTAAAAGTAGGGAGGTCTCACTAGACAAGATCATCTGGACCATAGTTACTGACCCCAATGACTGCCTTCATGTAAGATTCCCTTTTACAAGCATTCCAGCCAGACCATTCAGGTGTCTGGGGCCACAAAAGCAAGCAAGTGGCCACAGAATAAGACCCTGAGCTTATTGTGCACCGAGTCTACCCCCTGAACTCTCAGAGCAGTGAGACTCATTTCTGATGCCATATGAAAACCCTCTATTGTCTTCAGCATCATTTGAAAAAAAAATCAATTTATAACACCACATTAAATCTGCCAAAATTGAAATGTCAAAGGAAATGGAAAAGTGGACAGGAAAACACCAATTTCATATTTTTTACCAAGCTAAATTAATCTTCAAAAATGTTCCTCTTTACATTTTGAAAGACAGATTTTAGAGCAGTAATTTTTACTTTTGCCATCAAAACATACATGTTTAATTGGATAGGCAAATTCAGTTCAATCTTATGACCACTTTGGCACCACAACCAACCAGAAATATGATTAAGACTTATCACTGTGTCTCAAAGCCATACCAAAATCCAGTTTAGATAATGCAGAAAAGATCATTCATTTCAAAATCATGAACTTTCTGTAATTTTATGGGCAATTGATTAATGCGTATGGTTTTAGACCAAGTTTAGAAGTTACATACAATTATGAAATAATGGTGATAGCTTTCCTCTTCTTAACAATGGTATCAAATAAAAAAAGATTACATATTGCCTTAACGTAGCTTAACTCATTAATTCATATTTGGTTGCAATTAGGCTTGAAGACATGCTGAGATCTTTCAAAACTATCAGCATAACATGATGTAAAAAGGATCCCATCACTGCCTGACAAGGAACAAAAATCCAGGAGTTGTCCAACCTCTGCAGCAAGTACTGTGTTCACTATTTTCAGTACCAATGTATGAAATGGAGTACAAACTTTTACCAGAATGAATCCTCATGATGGAAAACTCTGTCCTGTAAAGTTAGTATTTTGCCTTAGCTAAACAATTTCACATGGCAAGATATTGTACCCTGCTTTACTTCAAGAACAACTAGTCCTGCAAACCTACCTTGTCGGGTCCAACCAATCAATTAGGCACAGGTTTACAACAAGTATTAATTGTCAGAGCCAGAATTGCCTTCTGCTGAAAGAGATTAAAGCATAATCTCTTTCCATTAAATGGCATGCTGACAGCATTGCATTTTTTAAACTCCTGTATGTGCTGTTGAAATGTTGAGCTCTATCTTCTACACAGCCAGCTAAAAACTGTCTGAAGACTGCTGAGGAGATTAGACCAGGACTTTTATAAATCTCCAACTCTACGACAGAATTTCAGTCCCCTTTGCAATGAGATGACCAATCTGGTACCAAAACTCACTTTGCAACACATACTATACTTGGGTGGAATTTTAAGGGGAATTTCTCTCCCACTGATCATTTTCATCTCTCAATTACATAACCATCACAGGCCACAACATTGTGCTCTTATGAAAATAGACATACTCCTCAGAATTATGATTTCCATAATTAGCATCCACATGCCAATTTCAACTTCTTGATATTCTTTCCAACGATTTTTTGAAAGTTGAGGGAGGATTTGAATGCATTAAGTTTTTTTAGAACTATCCAGCTTAATTTCTCATACTGGTAACATTTGCTCAAAAAGATAAGGACTCAATTTAGGGCTCCACACTAAATACCTTGACTCTCATGAATGTTCAGGCAGTTTTTAAGCTTTCTATATCTCTTTTCTGTACAGGTTAATCTGCACAAGCTCATGAAAGATACAAACCTGAGTCTGCAAAAGCCAGTTTGGTGCTTCCTCTCCATTTTAATTCTTCTTCCAAGGATGCATCACTCTTTAATGAGCACAAAATTATTAATCCAAATTAATTCACATGACTGCTAGTGACAGTTTCCTTAGACCTTTTATTAAATCAGAAGAATTGAACCACAATCTATTTCTCCAAGCATATATTCCAAAGCACATCAGCATGGCTCACATAGACCAGCACTGTGGAACCCCTAACCAGAAATGTCACCAAAAAATAACAATAAACATTCATTCTAAAGTAAGGCTGTTACTGGATAATTGAAGCAATGCCCTGATTTCTTCCTGCATTCAGACATTTTCCTGTTCAGAAATTTTCAGTTATTATTTGCCTGTGTATGCGCTCCTGCTGCTCCTTACTTGACTATGTAGCAGGCACACATATTTTTTCTTTCCTTTTTACATCTCAGTGAACACCTCATGTTTTAAGCCTTAAAACATGCAGTGCTTCTGCAAAAGGCTGCTTTGATGCCCATTTCACAGGAAGAGACACAGGATAAAAGAAAAAGTCACATTTTCCTGAAAAAATGTGCACACGCTTTACAAGAACATGCTCCAAGAACATGCCTTAGAGACTAATTTCTATTTATTACACACTTATTTCTGTGTTATTATTCCAACACAGCAGAGAAATACCATAGTCAAAATTTTGGTTTGATCTACTGATGAGGAACTGGAAGTTGAGCAGTCTAAACTGTAGTATCATAATAGATCTGGTCTGTATCCAACATTAATTTCTCATCTGTGTACATCAAGACAACGGGACAAAGCTTCACCTTTTCTTTGCTGACAACATAGACAATATACTATCTCTGAGCAACTGAGCAGAACAAATAATCTTATCAGAACACTGCATGGTCAGATCAGGTTTATTTTTAAGCTGCAACAGATTTTGTTCATGTTTTCCTCACACCTACACTTTCACAGAAAGGAATTATTCTAGATTGCAGCAACTTTTTATACATTTACTGGGATTGAGATAATGCTAGAAATACCTTATAGCAAAAAAAAAAAAAAAAAATTAAGTCCCCGGTCATTATTCAGATAGAGAATCCTGAGATGAGATTTTTCAAGTGTTTTTAATCTTTTGCACTCTATAAGGGAAAACGTTAGCAATTCTCAGTTTCACCTGTCTGTCGTTCTTCACAATGAAACAGAGTCCGGCTGGTTTAACTGCTCTATATATAAAGCCTCCATTTGTCACTGCCTTGTTACACCCCACAAGCTGTGGATCAAATTACACAGGAGCATCTCTTTCTCAGCATTAAAATAATAATAATAACAATAATAAAACCGATAACCAAACCAAGCCAAAACCCAAACAAACAAACAAAAACCAACCAAGAGCAATCAATCTTGAGACGATCAGTAGCCGGTGCGAGACAAGAATCAGAGACGATCTTTGCTCTAAACTTAATACCTCAGTAACACCTGAAATCTGTATTATTTCTCTTCAAAGCGCTGAATCCGAGAAGGGAAACAAAGCAGGAGCACTCTAAGGAAAAGAGCTGCCGGTACTCACCCAGAGCCCAGGACCAGCGCAGGGAAGAGGGGCAGCACGCAGTAAGCAGCGAGGAATTTCATCCCGGCCCTGCTCCGCTTCCTTCACACCGGCTCCTCGCTCCTCCGAGCCCACCTCTCCGAGGGAAGGACCGCGGACAGGCGGAGGGCGTGAGGAAGCTCCGAGCGGGGCCGGAGCTGCGGGCGTGTCACCGGAGGCAGAGCCGCCAGCCCGGAGCGCAGAGCCCGCAGCCCGCCCCAGCCCACCCCGGGCTGCTCCGGCCCTCCCCGCAGCCCGCCCCGCAGCCCGCCCCAGCCCGCCCCGGGCTGCTCCGCCCCGCAGCCCGCCCCGCAGCCCGCCCCAGCCCGCCCCGGGCTGCTCCGCCCCGGGCTGCTCCGGCCCGCCCCAGCCCGCTCCGGCCCGCCCCAGCCCGCTCCGGCCCGCCCCGCCGGCTGCGCCAGGCCGCGCCCCTCAGCGCCGGCCGGGGCGGGATCGCGGCGCGCTGCTGCGAGCTCCGTTCCCTGGGAGCGCCGGGGCACGGCCGAGAATCCTTCCTGCGAGGGAAAAAAAAGAAATTTAAACATTGAGAAACCGCAGAGCCCGCAGCTCGCCCCGGGGTGCTCCAGCTCGGCCCCCGGGCTGCGCCAGGCCGCGCCCCTCAGCGCCGGGATCCCGCCCGTGCGCTGCTCCAAGCTCGGTTCCCTGGGAGCGCCGGGGCACGGCCGAGAATCCTTCCTGGGAGGAAAAAAAACAAAATTAAAAAATTGAGAAAGCGCAGTACAAACAGCAGTATTCTGCAGTTAGTGTCTTTATGTGCTGTGATGCACAGGACAGGTGATCCAGAGGCAGGAGCCCCAGAGGAGCCCGGCACTACACACAGCCACGTGTCATCTGCAAAGCAGGAACACGCAGCCTGCTATTCCTACTGTTTCAGTCATTCACCCCGTATCGATTGAAGGTAGGAGCACAAATAGCTTCCAGAATAGGATTTAGAACAATGCCATCTCTAAAAGCTCTCCGTAACATGAAACATACAAGCCCTTGTCCATACAAGACCTTCAAAGAAATAAATATCCTTAAGCTCTTCGTAACGTGAAACATACAAGCCCTTGTCCATACAAGACCTTCAAAGAAATAAATATCCTTTTTCCCGTTTCGTGTGTTTGTATTCTCCCAAACTTAATCATAAATTACATAAATCAGCAAATTTGGTTCAAAATGTTTTCAGTGTGTAGATAAGTGCCTACCTTAGCACAGGTTCGTCTGATTGCAAATCATATGAAAGTGTAACATTTAAACAGAAGGAATCTTTCTCTGCAATACTGCAAAACCCCAATCAAACAAACTTGTCTCCAAGTGAATGAATTGTGGTCATTACAAGAAAGGTGTCTGGCCACCTATGGGCTTCTCTGCTCTTACGAAAGACATCCATTATACATCAGAAACTACATTATACATCACAAACATAAACCAAAAATTTCCTTAGCTTAAACTGGTTAGTATTTGCATTCAGCTGTTTACTGCAGAGTAATTTTGTATTCCATCACAGAAAACAGAAATTCACTGTTTGAAATGAATGGAAGACTTTTTAAAATTAGTATTGTCCCTTAATAAGATAGGTACATGGTGAATACAAACAAAATTAATAAATTACATCCTTCAATAGCAAACTGAGAGTGATGGGAGGTAAAAGAAAAAATGAAAAGGTGATATACACAGCCAAGAAGGAACAAAATAATTAATTTCTGACTTTCTGTATCCCAACTCTAGTATCTTTTCCAGCACACCTGGCAGTACATTCTGTTCAATCACATTCATTTAAAACTTTATTTATTGTTATGCTGATGCTACGTACCAGCTTGAATGAACAGTCATGTTACCATGGATACTTATGATAGCATGGTAAAAAGGTCATAAAAAGAATTGTTAGCTTGTCATTTTCTCTTCTAGAATAAGCCAGCCTTTCCAGTCTACCAGGCACTTCATAGTAATTTACCAGCAGCTAATACTTCTTTTATCTTCCTTTTATGTGCATTCCTAGAGGGTGGAACAGAGGGGAAGGTATTGGTGCATCAAGGCAGTAAAAAAATGCTGAGTGGTCTTAAGTAACCTTGTGAAATTTTTCAACTTGAGGAACTGTTTTTAAATCCTGTTACTGCTCTGCCCCTTTCTTTGGGAAGTGGGGGATGGAATAGAGAGGCCTACTGCTGCTTCTTGGTTTCACCTCAAGGGGTTTTAGCAGGCTTGCATGGGAGACTCTCCACAAGCGGTGGAGTGACTTCAGCACGGGCAATCTGCAGCTCACAGTGCTTCATCACCCAGACGTAACATTGCCATTCCATGCAGAATTTCTCCATCCTGCTCAGAACTGACTGAACAACGAGGAAGCTTTCATGCTTCCCAGCAATGTGACTTTAGTTCTGCTCTGATGTGAATATCCTATAAAGACTATCACAGCTCAGTTTGAGCCTGTAAATATCTGAAGAACTCAGCGTACAGGGTTTGTAACAAACTTTCCCAACTCAGACTGGCCCACAGGAACCCTCAATCAACTTGAGCACAGCATATACACAGCCAGGCTAAGCAGAGACTGCACCAATTGTACCCCTAAATACTGAGCTAGACACAGGTACAATTGCATCACTGTGAAGACAATGCTTAGCAGTAAATGCATGTGGGAAAAAAGGAAAACCTGCCCTTTTAGAAGCAAATTTCTGTAATTAAGGGCTAGGCACTTAATCTTCAATGCTGGTCTTGTCAGACCTGATTGTACTCCAGCTGCTTGCCTAAAGACACAAAAAAAGCATCCTTTTCCTCCTTCCTATTGAGATAAATCACCTTGATCTTGACAAGTTGGAGGGGTTTTTGTGTTTTGGTTGGTTGGTCAGTTGTTTATGTGAAAAACGAGGTTCACTCTCCTGGAAAAATTTATATGTTTAATAAAGGACAATAGGATTCAAAAATAAAGCAAAGCTAAATGGCCAGGTGCTTGGCATTCAGCCAAGGGCACACCTGCTATTTCAGAGCCACCCTTTACATACCTTTGCATTTCATATTCATAAACAGTTCTGCATATAACATTTCCCCAAACTAGATTACATGTTCCAAGAACTGCTTAGCATGGCTCCTCCTCAGGGCTGCCTTTTTAGAGGATGCTCATTCCTGGGCTGTGGTTTTAGTCCATTCTTATTCCCACTTCCAGCTTGGACTTTGGTCCGTACTTTCTACAGGCAGTAGGTGCTGATAGTTGGTGTGTCAGTAGCAGGGGTCTTCATCATATATTCACTGGATGTTATCCCAACCAAGCAGGCAGTTCAATTACCACAAGCATAACTACATCAGCTATTTCACTACTATTTTATGTCTAAGTTTAGTTAATAGCAGAAATAGAAGCTGTATCTTTATAGCAAAGTTACTTTAACATTAAACATACAGTATGCGTTTTAATATTTGCAAAAAGCCAATATAATAGAATGTAATTATAATATTCATTTGAGAGGAGTAATGTGCATCTTAACATCAATATATCAATACCAAAAAATTATAGAGAATCGCTTGCAGATTTTTCTTAGACATAGACTGTAGTTGATTTTTTGTGCTGTGTACACTTAGAGATCAAATGTTACTGTGCAACAGCTTCCAATATGTTATAGAAATATTCTATATAAGCACATAAGACATGCAGAACTCCTCAGAAATATCATATTTTTCTATTGTAATTAAAGGCTTTCCATTTTTTTGGTTCAAATGAATTGACAATATTACTAAATAAATAATTACTCCCAGCTTAGCAAACAAAAGATGATTTTATATGCCATTAAAAAAATGCATAGGAAATATAGAAGAATTACTACAAAATTAAATGGGAGAGGTGAATATTCTATTCCCCCAATGAAGGCCACAGCCTTTCTGAAAAATATTGGAAGGACAGAAACAATGCATTACACAAATAATACCCTATACTATTGCAGTTTAAAATATATAAAAATTAGCAACCTCTGGGTGGACCAGTTCTTTTTGCATTGATGAAATATTTCCATCACAATATCACAGCTTTTGGGCACTGTTGAAGACATTTCTTCTTTCATTTTAATTTCTCAGCTCTTCAAGTGTATACCATCATGTTTGAATATCAAACATTAACACATAAGTCTGCAAAATTATGGTCATTCTCCCAGTTCTTCTGTTTCTGTTGACACATACCACGCTTCATTTCCAATGAGTTAAGTAGCACCAATCAACTTCAGTAATAAATAGAGTGAGGCAACAAACTTTAAATTTGAATGAATGTTTATTCATTACCCAAGCGTAGCTTTACTGTTCACTTTAGCTGGGGTTTCCTTATTTTAAAAAATTGGCAAATGTTTTACTGGCTGCTTTCTTTCCTTGGAGTCTCGGGTGCTGAGAAGCCAGTGCTGCCAACTGGAAGCTCTGAGGAGATGTTAATATGGGAAATGCTATGTGGGAGCTGTGAGTGACGTGGTGTGACAGCTCCTTGGAATGGGAGTCCATGGCACTCTGGGAATGCTGGCACTCTGCTGAGCTCAAACTGTTTCAGGCTGCAGAATGAATCAACTGTCTGACAGACATTAGTATGTCTAAGAGGCAGCAGTTCCCCAAACAATGCTGTGTGAGGAAAACTGAAGCTACAAGCTCAGTTGCCAGAATTAAAAAAAAAATTATCAGAAAACAGAGATGGGATAAACCTTTATACATAGAAAATAATGTCCAAAATAACATAAAACAAAAGAATTTTCATGCATCTGTGCAGGGGAAACTGAAATATTAAAAACTGTGACCTTTCATGTGCTCTTAGGGAAAGAAATACTGCACAATGAACTCCTTCTCCTCTTGATGCCCAGGACACCCAAACATTTGTTAGCTGCACACTTATTTACAGGATTTAAACAGTACCTGAAACAGTATCGAAAGTCTTCTTAGCACGCTCCTTCATAGCATATATGTATCTGTGATTTTGCAGATGAAAGATTGTGTTTTATGTTGCGATTCTTCACTGATTAAAACACCAATTTGGATGTTCCAGCCAGGAAGCAAAAGGAAGGATAGAGTCAGAAAAAAAGCATAAGGGAAGGAAATGAAGACAGATGAAAAAATAAAAAATCAAAGAGAGACAAAACAGCAAAAGAAGAAAAAAAATCATTCAGAATGAGGAAAAAAAATTACTGCAACTGATAATAATAAAAAAACCTCCAAAGCTATTTACTAATCTTCATCTGGTGTAGTCCTCCAAATATATTTAGCAATTACTAAAGACTACCAATATG